AGGACATATTTTGCATATCTGTACGTTAAAAGTAAACTCAGGAAATGTAGAAAAGGGCATCCTTGAGCGTCAGGTGCTCAGTGGTGGCAGTACAGTGACAAATGCATAGTAATACTTGGATGACTGAGTAAAAAAAATAGTTGTGCTGTTTGTTTTTGTTACGTGAGTCTGCTGTAGTTTAAAACGTGTGTAGGTGTTAAAGGTGTAGTTGGATTTAAAATCAGGAGAGAGGCATGGAGGCTTTGTGTTTCTGCATTACCATATGGGAGTGTGCAGTGTTTTACTGATTTTTAAAAGTTCCCTGTCCGGTTGTGAGACGGTATTTTCCCGTCACTACCTGGTTCAGCATGTTCAGTTTAAAGCCACTGTCTCAATTTAATCAGTTTGAAGAATTTCCCCATCTCTTGTTTTCTCCTTTCTTTTGATTAATGACTGCAAAAGCTCCCAGGTGTTGTAGGAGTTTTAAATGGATTTTATTATCAGGAATTAGCACTGATGTTTAGGAGAGAATGGGATTGGCTGGTAAATAAAGTGGACAGATATAGCTGCAGTCTGACAGCATCCTGGTTCAGCAGGTGGATGAGATTTACAATCGCAGAAATCAGGCAAATAAATGAAATATGCACGTAGGCCTGTCGCGATAAACAATAAATCAATTAATCGCGTGATAAATGAATATTATCAACCTCGTTTTCATTTATCAGCTTTATCGTTTCTTCCTGTCTCTTTCTACTGAAGACACTGGATGACAAAAAGCTCAACTCAGGTGCTCTTCACTGACCCCTCTCTTTCTCTTTTAAAAAACATCTGTTTTAATTGTCCAAAATTGCATTTTTGGATCATTAAAAGCAGCTAAGCTGAGAAGCTAAGCTACAAGCTAAGCTAACAGGCCGACCTCAGAAAAAAAAACAAAAAAAACTCCGTCTTGTCGAAGCTCCAAAATTCACGGTTGAAACCTGTGCCTTCGTGTAAAAAGTTGTTTCTCTGCAAAAGAAGCTGAGAACTTGTTTACTGATTTTTTTAAATTAAAAACTTTGTGTGGAAAATGCTTTGCTAAAGAGCTCAGACCACATCGAGCGTCCGCCATTTTGAGAACTGAAAAAAAGGAAAGGGAGACGGCCCATGTCACATCAAGGGGCCACCCTCCCATTTTTCTTAAAGAGACACGCTACTCACTCCCTCACTATCCATCCTTCGGTTCAAATTGTCTGATACTGCCATCCATTGGTCAAAAACCATATTACATCCAAAATAAATAAATCTACATTTCTTCTTAAATTTGACAATAATGACTAATTATTGTCAAATTTCAAACAATGTTATCGTTTATCGCAATAATTTCCAGCAAAATGTGTTATTGTTACAGGCCTACACGCACGCAAACGGACAAACCTGGGCGATTTAGCGAAGTGGATCTGAAGTTTCAAAGTGCTTGGAAGCTTTTTGTATTCATTCTTTGCAGTCTAAACTCTGCTGATGAAACTTTTACTTATTTGCAAGTAATTTTATCAACATATTTTCTTTGATGTCAGTCAGTTGCTTAGATTCTTGGTTGTGAGTTTGTCTGTCTTCCACATGGTCCAGATAAAAATAGCTCAAAAATAATTGGAATAATCGATTGTTCCTGCATGACCAAATTTAATGAGTTTTTTTGTCCCATGACTGTGTCTTTAGGGTCAAAATGGCTTGTGACAGTTCCTGATAACAGTTGGATCAGTTACCATGAAATTCTGTGAAATCATTTTCCACTTTTCTTTTGGAGCCATCAGATGATTTAAAATGGGATGTTTTAGCTCCTGACTTTATGCATCCAGAACTGGCATTTAGAGCTGAAAATCTATTGTCAGTGTTTCTTACATGGTTTGAACTTTTCAAGTACATTTCAAAAGTGACGTTTTCTAAATGAACAGTGTTAGATTTTCATTTAGAGGTGGTCAGAGAGGGAATTTACCAGCACTGAATTCTCATAGGAGCCTTATTCCCACATTAAAATAGCTAGATGCTTAATGAGTTCTTAATTTTTTTTAAATATAATATCTGATCTCTAAAAATCTTTTTCATTACAATAAAGGAAAAATGTATGATGATATGCTTTTGTGGTGGAGTCTTTGCTTTGTCTTAAAGCAGGATGGAGAGATTTACCTTCTTTTTTTTTGAGTCTTTATCAGAGCTTCACGTTCACAATAAAGCGCCTGTTTGATCTGTTTGACTTGTGTGTGTTTAAAAAAAATGAAAGCTTAATATTCCATCAGCCATGTTTGGGTTTGAAGCAAACCAGTCATTATTGTTAACGTGTTTGTGTGCAGCAAAATAACTTGTGGTTTACAGAGGCTCAAGGAGGTTTAAAGAAAGGGAATAAATCAGTGTGACATAACCAATTTTCATTTTATGGCTAAAGCCAAAGAGGATTATATTTGAGCCTGTTTTAATTTAGCTGCTGTTCTCTCAAATATTGATTTCCATATTTGTGATTTTACTTTGGACCCCTGATAGTTTTAGTTTTGTGCAATTACTCTGGTTATACATGGTTTTACCAACTGTCCTGTTAAGGTGGAATAAAAAGAAGCTGTTCGATTCAAACTAGTTTAGAAATGTATTTAATTTTGTTTCTGGCTGCCTAAAAAGCCTACAGGTATACACCTCCATCTTTTAACTTGAACTTATCTTTGTTAGAAAGAGAATTTATTACAGGTTGGTTCTTGTCTGGATGAGAGAGATGCTTGCTTTAATCTAACCTAGGGGTCTGTAACCTTTACGATCAAAAGAGTCATTCATGCCCCTTTGTTCACTAAATGAAGTGTCTGGAGCCGCAACAATCTGGTACAACTGTGATCATCAACTGGTGGCACGTGGACCACTTTAAATTTGATGGAGGGGGCTTTTCTGGCCAGTTCGGGTGACTTTATTAAACTAAATACAAATGGTTTTTAACATTGGATATTTCATTCAACCTTTATTTAGACAGGTTAATCCCAATGAGCCTCATGGACTCATTTACAAGAGACCTGAAAATATATTTGTAATATATAATAATATTCAATAATAATATTTGAAAGACAAAAGAAAAGACCAGCTTGTTTTAAAGAAAGAAAAGAAAAATATAGATTTTAACTATTTTGTAAAATTTTAAACAATGAAAGGGCCTATGATTTTGTTTTTTATTGAATTAAGTATACTTTGAAGAGATAGAGCATAAAATGAGCATGTTTTACTTGTTTTTGTATTGTTCTACTATTCACATATTTGCAAAATAAAAAAGACAGGAAGACTGTTAAAACGACCCTTTTTAATTTTAGTATAACAATCGATAAAATTCAGTTTTATGTCAGTTTTGGTCAAAGCTTGAAAGAGCCGCTGTAGATGAACCAAAGAGCCTCATGTGGCTCCTGAGCCGCAGGTTGCAGACCCCTGATCTAACCACTATCAGTCTGAATCACAGAAAACTATGGTACTTTGTTCCTATTACAGTACATGCTGCACCTGTTGGCACTTTGGTGTCTGATGTTTTGCACAGTGACAAAATGTTGGACCTCCTTGATTAAAAGTGTAATTCAATTGAATATCTAAACACTTATCATGTTTAAAAGTCGAAGCTGAGGATTATAGACCTAATTTATAAATGTCATTTTTATGCAGTTTAAAACTCAGAAAAGTGACAGTACCTTTGGCAAATTCACGTTGTGAACTTTTTGTTGTACTAGAGATTATTTTCGGTGTTTCCGAAGTCTTTGTTGTTAGTTTTAAGTCCTAACAGAAACACTGTCCATTGCTGCTTCAATTATTCACAATAATTTAAAATTGGCTCTAGTTGGCCTTTCCTAGGTTGCAAAGAAGCCTTCTTCATCAGAAGCTCAACAGGATTTCAGATCTTGACAAAATATATGCGAGAGCTTATTCCTCTTTAATAAAAACTCAGTGCCTCCTTTCCACTTTTAACTCTAAAAGTAGTCCAAAAAATGCCAAAGTAATTGAAAGTTTTGAGTAGAAAGTTTGATCTTTTGCCTGCAGCAGTGATTTTATAGCCAGGTTTGTGCGAGCCTTTGTCTCTGAGTAACACCTTGTTGTACCAGCGGCAGATTCAGGGTGCCGCAGCGGCGTGTGAACAATCCAACACCTTCACCCCTGCATGTGAACACATCTCACATAGGAACCAGATTGGGTCATGAGCGAACGGCAGAGCAGAAGGGTGAGGCTGTGTGTGAGCGTCAGCAGTGACCTGATCTGACCTCTGACCTCCCTGTCACAGAGCAGCTCTGTGTTCCCATTGGTCCCAGACAGGATGTGCTCTGTTAGAGATGTCACAAAGCCCCCCTTTTTATTCACTCTACGTTTCAACATCAATCTACAAGGATCTTTCTCCTGTTTTAGTATATAACAGAATAATTACTGTTAGATTGAAATTGTAGTGTTTTTAACTAATTTATTATGAAGGAATTGAGCAAAAGTTGTTTTGCTAATCTGTTTTTTCCTTTGGCATCTTCAGCACAGAACATTTTGAGACTTTGTTCTTTGTCCGCAGCAGGGACCAGATGGGCCTTTTTCAGAGAGTGATAAATTTGTTGTCTCTTTTGTTTTATGAAGCATAACAAGGGCCTCACTGTGCACAAATTAGCACTTTCATATTCATAAAATGTAACTCATTAGGACAGTAAAAGGGAGGGGGAGTGTGTGCATGTCATAGCATCATGCTCACCTTTGAGTAGGCACATTTCCATTAAAGTAAAAAAGGCTTTTAGGTCATGCTTTTTCTTGTCACATTTAAGATGAATGATTCATCGAGCACAGAAATGATGCCTTATGGGATTTGTATTATTATTAACTTTGATAAAATTGGAAAACGTAACCCTTAGAGACTTTTTTCAGCGTAGAACATGTGCAGTATTTCGCTCATTTGTCACATCAGTGAGCTCCTGATCTGAGCTCAGGTTTTACACTTCCCAATCTTTTTTTCCATATTTAACCTTTACCTTGCTTGTTTTCTATTCCTATTTTCCCTTCAGCTGTAGCCGCAGCCCCCTCCCACACCGCCTGCCGACATGGTGGTGCTGTCGCTCAAAATCTGCGTGCGTCAGTGCAACGTCGTGAAGACGATGCAGTTTGAGCCGTCCACAGCCGTGTACGATGCCTGCAGAATCATCAGAGAGAGGGTCCCTGAGGCGCAGACTGGACAGGGTGGGTATCCAAGTATCAGCATGTTACAGATTATGTTGAAATCTGATGAACTGCACAAAAAATGGAAATGCAGAAAGACCTACGTTAAATTTGAGGGTAAAATGTTTTGCTCTTTAAAGAGCAAGAAAGGAACATAAAAGTCTTGAATTAATTCAGTTTATACACCTTTATTAATTTTTCATATTACAAACCGGATTCCAAAAAAGTTGAGACACTAAACAAATTGTGAATAAAAACTAAATGCAATGATGTGGAGGTGCCAACATCTAATATTTTATTCAGAATAGAACACAAATCACAGATCAAAAGTTTAAACTGAGAGATTGTATCATTTTAAGGGGAAAATCGGTTGTTTCCAAATTTCATGGTGTCAACAAATCCCCAAAAAGTTGGGACAAGTCCATTTTTACCACTGTGTGGCATCCCCCCTTCTTCTTACAACACTCAACAGACGTCTGGGGACAGAGACCAGTTTCTCAAGTTTAGAAATAGGAATTCTCTCCCATTCATGTCAAATACAGGCCTCTAACTGTTCAATCGTCTTGGGCCTTCTTTGTCACACCTCCTCTTTATGATGCGCCAAATGTTCTCTATAGGTGAAAGATCTGGACTGCAGGCTGGCCATTTCAGTACCCGGATCCTTCTCCTACGCAGCCATGATGTTGTGATTGCTGCAGAATGTGGTCTGGCATTATCGTGTTGAAAAATGCAGGGTCTTCCCTGAAAGAGATGACGTCTAGATGGGAGCATATGTTGTTCTAGAACCTGAACAGAGTTCTCTGCATTAATGGTGCCTTTCCAGACATGCAAGCTGCCCATGCCACAAGCGCTCATGCAACCCCATACCATCAGTGATGCAGGCTTCCGAACGGAGCGTTGATAACAACTTGGGCTATCCTTGTCCTCTCTGGTCCGGATGACATGGCGTCCCAGTGTTCCATAAAGAACTTCAAATCGTGACTCATCTGACCACAGAACAGTCTTCCATTTTGCCACACTCCATTTTAAATGACCCCTGGCCCAGTGCAAATGTCTGAGCTTGCTTAGAAATGGCTTCCTCTTTGCACTGTAGAGTTTCAGCTGGCAACGGCGGATGGCACGGTGGATTGTGTTCACTGACAATGCTTTCTGGAAGTATTCCTGAGCCCATTCTGTTATTTCCTTGACAGTGGCATTCCTGTTTGAGGTGCAGTGACGTTTAAGGGCCCGGAGATCACGAACATCCAGTAGAGTTTTACGGCTTTGACCCTTTCGCACAGCGATTGTTCCAGATTCTCTGAATCTTTTGATGATGTTATGCACGGTTGATGATGATAACTTAAAAGTCTTTGCTATTTTATGCTGGGTAACACCATTCTGGTATTGCTGCACTATCTTTCTGCGCAACAATAGTGGAATTGGTGATCCTCTTACCATCTTGGCTTCTGAGCGACACTGACACTTTGAGAAGCTCTTTTTATACCCAATCATGTTGTCAATTGACCTAATTAGTGTTAATTGGTCTTCCAGCTGTTCGTTATATGCTCAATTTCCTTTTTCTAGTCACTTATTGGTACTTGTCCCAACTTTTTTGGGATTTATTGACACTGAAATCTTGAATCAACATATTTTTCCTTTAAAATGTTACATTTACTCAGATTAAACTTTTGATCTGTCATCTATGTTATATTACAAATAAAATATTGACATTTGCCATCTCCACATCATTGCATTCAGTTTTTATTCACAATTTGTTTAGTGTCCCAACTTTTTTGGAATCCGGTTTGTATAAACTATGCTATAAGATTAAAAAAATTCTGTTGGTGAGGTTATATTTAAAACTATTATTAGAACAGGCAGGTAGATGATTTGTTACACAGTTTTAAGTAAATCCCCAAGAAACAAAACAATAAATGTATAAATAAAGTTTGTGTTTTTATTTTTGTTTGTTTGTTTTTCATATTGGGATCATTTAGGCTCCAATGCTTTTTGGCTTCTATCCCTTTTGTCCCTAATTGTATCATTTAACTAGTGCTGTGATTGGATTAATAGATTTTGTGCTTTTTATTATTCAGTCATGAATCATTTCCTTTTTTAACATGTTAACCTCTAATCAGTCAAAGCTTTTCAGCTTTCATAGATGAAGGTCCTTTTGATTTCTTCCACATTTCCACTCTAAAGTCTTTTTCTCTTTTGCCTTTTATGTTTTTAGATGTGTTTGCTGAGTGATCTTTGCTCTCATTAATCAAGTCAAAGACAGGAATTAATTAAAAATCCTCCCCCTGTTTCACAGCATTGTCTTTGAATTGACATTTATTTGCTAATAACTTGGGATGAAAGGAGCAAATGTTGCACCTGATGCTCAGTTTTGTTTTCTCTGCTCTAATCGGGATCATTGCAGAGGATGCATTATATTTTCTGACACTGGAATTATAATATAATATTATAATTATAAACAAATGTCTAAAATGTAGAAATTTTCCCTCACTCCTCCAGCTTCAGATTACGGCTTGTTTCTATCTGATGAAGACCCCAGAAAAGGCATCTGGTTGGAGTCTGGACGGACCATGGACTATTACATGCTCCGTAATGGGGTAAAGACACTATGGAATGACTGTTTGTCAAAAAAAAATATTTAGAAAGTCTTTACTAATACTGTGCGTTACTGACATATAAGTTTATTGAAACACCTTATTTTATTTTGAAATGTGTTTTAACACTCATTGAGGGGGGATTCGCTTAGAAAATTCTGACACAAAGGCAACATTAGATGTAAGGACAACGAGAACATCTGAACAAACGTTCAAATGGAGTGTGTTTGCATATACTGTCTGTCAGTACGTTTATGGCTGTGCCTCTGCTGCGCCAAATTGTTTCCCTTCTTCAAAAAGGTAGCCCAGGTAAAGTGTAGCTATGACCAATTATTCTGAAGCAAATATCACCTTGTGATATTTTCAGGAGTGAGCACAGACACTCTCCTGCCACCTTGATTGGCAGGAGAGTGTCTGTCACCCGTTAAAAAAAGGTTTTCATCCTTTTCCTTCATTCCAAACAACCTGGATGCATTTGATGATCTTCTCTGCAGCTACTCCCCCGCACCTTTTAAAATGTAATTCCTAGTTATCTCTGTGCATTCGGCTTGCCTTTTTTTCTTTGTTTCATGCGTTTTTGTGCTTGAACAGGATATTATTGAGTACAAGAAGAAGCAGAGACCCCAGAAAATCAAAATGTTGGATGGAGCTGTTAAAACAGTCATGGTGGATGACTCCAAAACGGTGGGCGAGCTGCTTGTGACAATCTGCAGCAGAATAGGTACACCATATCATTCACTCTGCCTTATTTGTGATCTTTTCAAGGAATAAACATGAACTTGGTTGAACCTCAGATCCAGGAGGAACAATGTGGGTTCCGTCCTGGCCGTGGAACACTGGATCAGCTCTTTACACTCACTTGGGTCCTCGAGGGGTCATGGGAGTTTGCCCATCCAGTCTACATGTGTTTTGTGGACTTGGAGAAGGCTTCCAACTGTGTTCCTTGAGGTACACTGTGGGGGGTGCTCCGTGGGCATGGGATTGGGGGGCCATTGCTACGGGCTGTTCAGTCCCTGTACAAGCAGTGCGAGAGTTTGGTTCGCATTGCAGATAGAGAGGGAGTCCAGTTCGGTGGCCTCAGGATTCCATCTCTGCTCTTTGCAGATGATGTGGTCCTGTTGGCGTCATCATGCCGGGATCTTCAGCTCTCACTGGAGCGGTTCGCAGTCAAGTGTGAAGCGACTGAAATGAGAATCAGCACCTCCAAATCTGAGGCCATGGTCCTCAACCAGAAAAGGGTGGATTGCTCTCTTCAGGTTGAGGGTGAGTTTCTGCCTCAAGTGGAGGAGTTCAAGTATCTTGGAATTTTGTCCACAAGTGAGGGAAGAATGGACCGTGAGACTGACAGATGGATTGTTGTAGCATCTGCAGTATTGTGGACTCTGTGCCGGTCTGTTGTGGTGAAGAGGGAGCTGAGCTGTAAGGCGAAGCTCTCGGTTTACCAGTCGGTCTACGTTCCTACCCTCACCTATGGTCATGATCTCTGGGTAGTGACTGAAAGAATGAGATTGTGGATACAAGCAGTTGAAATGAGTTTCCTCTGCAGGGTAGCTGGACTCTCCCTTAGAGGTAGAGTGAGAAGTTCAGTCAAAATAAAGGCTAAATAAATGAAAATAAATCCAGGAGAGACTCGTAGTAGAACTGCTGCTCCTCCACATTGAGAGGAGCCAGTTGAGGTCATTTGGGCATCTGGTTAGGATGCTCCTGGGCACCTCCCTAGGGAGGTGCTTTGGGCATATCTGACTGGGAGGAGACCCTGAGGAAGACCCAGGACACGCTGGAGAGACTAGAGTTGCATTTGGGCCTAAAAATCCGACCTGGCTCGAGCCCATATCATTTTACTCCAGCCCAACCCAAAACAGACCAATTAACTGTGATTACAGGTCCTTTTTTTAAGCTTTTACTGCTTTTGTAAGCAAATCAGTTTGACATAATAGTTTTAAAAACATATTTCAATTCAATTCAATTCAACTTTAATTTAGACAGATAAATCACATTGAGCCTCGAAGATTCATTTACAAGTGAGATATGTTTAGATAGACAAAAAAAAAGGAAATTGGACACGTAAGAAAGAAAGAAAAATATGATTTCTTGTTTATTAACAAGTCAGTGGATTATTATAGTTATTATAATATTATAGTTATTAACAGTCAATGGCCGCTTAGCGGTTGAGTCCAGCTGGGCTTGGATGGATCGCTGGCAGCCATCCATCTGGACTTTTTTTTTTTACCTCTTTCAACCGGCTGGACTTGGTTGCACACATCTGCTGACGCAGCGGCCGAGTCCAGCCGGGTTTGGATGGGTTGCTTGTAGCAATCTAGCCAAAGCCCAACTGAACTTTTTGTTTTTTACCTCTGTCAACCGGCCAGTCAGCCCGCGCGCGGCTGGCAATCCAAATTGGATCATCAGCCGCACGCATCCACCCACACAATCAAAAGCCCGGCACCGACCCGGCCATCCAGCACATTATTTTGGCCCAGCCCGGCCCGAATTCCGGGTCGGGCTGGGCCGGGCCTCGGGCCTGGTTAGAAATTACAGCTCTAGGAGAGACTACATCTCTCGTTTGGCTTGGGAACGCCTTGGAGTCATCCCAGAAGAGCTGGAAGAGGTGGCTGTGGAAGGAGATGACTGGGCCTCCCTGCTCAAGTTGGTGCCCCCGCGACCCAACTTCGGAACAAGCAGAAGGGGATGGATGGATGGATGGATGGATGGATGGATAAGCAAGAACTTTAGGTGTTAATGAAAATATAACTTGAATCGGATATTATTGATTTTACTATTTTTACTTTTGTTTGTGTTATGCTGTTTTTGAAAAAGTATTGGAAACAAAAATAAACTACTGATGCTCATAAAATCAAAAGAATTGATTCAAACATTTATCCACCTGACTTTTATGAGGATTCTTTTTTTTTTTTTCCTTTTTGGATGCCAGGGATCACAAATTATGAGGAGTACTCTCTGATCCAGGAGACGGTGGAGGACAAAAAGGAAGAGGGGACAGGTACGCTGAAGAAGGACAGGACGCTGCTGCGTGACGAGAGGAAGATGGAGAAGCTGAAAGCCAAACTGCACACGGACGATGACCGTAAGTCTAGAAAAGAACAACTAAAAGTGCAAAGACTTTCTTCCCACTTACCTAAAGTAAATTTTACACAGAAGCTTTTTAATATCCCATCTTCACACCTGCCTGTGATATCTGTCGTCCTTTCCCAGAATGTGGGAGTAGTTCATCTGACTGAAGCACAGATCATTGCTTTTCCTTTATGATTTTTTAAAATCCATTTGCACCCAGCTACATTGAAAGATTGTATCCAGATCACTCATTTATTTTCCCATTTACTGCTTCTTTTCAAAGTTACACTCGTTGGTCTAATTTGTATCAAAATAAAATTTGCTGAGTCAGAAGCGTGTGTTGGCTTCGACCCCTCATCTAAACATACATGTATTTATGTAGCTTTACTTCTGTACTTCTGTCATTTTTATCTCAAATTTAATTCATGCAAATCAAAACCGTGCCTTATTAGTGAGTTGTGAGTGAAGACATTACATGTTATGTTCATGTAGTCAGACTGAGCAAAAGATGCACGTTTGTTTCGCTTTGTTTGTGTAGAAGACACTTGCATGGTTTGAGTTTGTGTTTTCAGTGAACTGGCTGGACCACAGCAGGACATTCAGAGAGCAGGGGGTCGATGAGAACGAGACCCTCCTGCTCAGACGCAAGTTCTTCTATTCAGATCAGAACGTAGACTCCCGAGACCCGGTCCAACTCAACCTGCTTTACGTGCAGGTAAAGCACCTTCACACAGCAGCTAAAGACGTCTGAGGCAGAAATGTATGAAAAACATTGTCAAGTTTTGGATAATAATACACATTTGTCTAATTAGGCAGATCTAAGGAGGATGTGACTTTCAAAGCATTAACAAAACTACTTCTTGAAACTGCTTGTTTGATTTAAAGACAAAATAACCTACATTTATGTGTAAATATATACATGTTTAAAAAAATAGATACAATCATAAATTGAGTGCAGTTGTATATCTGCATTGGTCATACAAAGTGAACCCTCACAGTCCAAAAACAATAAAAACAACCTCATTAAAGTTGATTGTATTAGATGTTTGCTAAAGAAGGACCTCTCATAATACGTAGCAATATATTTTGTGACTGTAAATTCTGCAGCTTTCGTTGCAGAGTGGTTTCTGTAGAACTAATTTAGGATGATCTCTGCTCTTTAGGAGTTGCTGTTTTCCCAATTAAGGAACTTGTTATTCTAAAGAGATGCACAATACCCTTAGGGGTGCCTGGAAAAACAATTAGTAAAATATCTACAAATTGGTTCTATCTCAAGCATGACAAACTGTAAAAAGCAAATTCAAAATAACGTCAAATGAGTAAAGATTCATTTACACCCAAAAGCTCTGTAGGATGTGTTTAATCTTTGGATGCTTCGTAAGAGTTGTGGTGTAGTGTTTATGGACAAAATCTATAGACTTTTATGCACAACAATATACATTATGCTGTATTTGGATGAAAAAAGCTAAAACTTCAGTCTAGCTTTGATGCACGGTGGTGGTTGTATCAATCTGGGACCAGTGGCACCTTCAGGACCAGAAGATCTTGCAGTTGTTGTTAAAACAAGTAATTTAAAATGATATTTAAAAAAAACACATGACCTGAAGTTTTGGACCAGATATTTAACTCAAATGCTCATGTTTTTTGGGCCGCACGGTGGCTCAGTTGGTAGAGCTGTTGCCTCTCAGCCAGAAGGTTTCCAGATTGAGTCCTGGTCGTGGACCTTTCTGGGATTGAGTTTGCATGCTTTCTCCGTGCATGTGTGGGTTTTCTCCGGGTATTCCAGTTTCCTCCCACAGGCCAAAAACATGCATGTTAGGCTGATTGGTAACTCTAAATTGTCCCTAGGTGTGAGTGAGAGAGTGAATGGTTGTTTGTCTTGTTTGTCTCTGTGTCCCTGTGATGGACTGGAGACCTGTCCCAGGGTCCTGCCTCTCGCCCAGTGATGGCTGGACATGGGCACCAGTGACAACCTGAAAAGGAAGAAGCGGCTAAAAGAGGATGTATGGATGGATGGATAAACCCAAAGTTGTAGAATAAAATTTTTTTTTTTAGGATTACTGACCCATCTAAGATGCTGTGCATATGCTTGAGAAGTACTGCTAAATTAAACAGATGTTTCTGGAAAAAGTCCAGATTTTTTTCTACAGCGTAAAGTTTTATGAGGAACAACAGAAAACATCAGATGGAAGTTGTTTCTTTGGTTCTACCAATACATGGTTTATAAAATTTATTTATTTATTTTTCTTTCTTATGACCTAAAAGTTGCAACTGTTCTGATACCAATATCGATACCTGTACCGATATCGGAAAAACTTCTGGATCGGGTTTCGGTGACAAAGTGGCCGATCCATGACTGGGCAGATCTATTCACTCTAATTCTATGCTTTGCGCTCTGAGTGACGTCACCTGCTAGCGAACTGACTGAACAAATTAAAGTTGTGTTGGTTTTACATGTTTGACCAAGCTTGTGTAGCTCTTGGTGTGTTTAAGTGTGCTGTTATGGTGCAGAGTTTTCAATAAATTTGTAATTCAGCACATTCATGTCTGCGTTTAAAAAAAAACAAATGTTTTAAGTTAATTCAGCACCCAGTTTGTAAGCTCAAACATCCAGGTAGGTAGACAACAAAAATGGCTAAATAATGGCATCTGGGTCCAGATAACATGATTTAGCCATTTTTGTTGATTCAGCACTGTTTTTTCTGTATCAGATCGGATCATATCGGTCGATACAAAACCACATATATCGGTATCGGATCGGACTTGAAAAAAGTGGATCGGTGCATCCCTAAACTCTTCATGAGTGATTGTTTTCTTGTGGCAACAAAATAAGTATCCCTCTTTGCATTTACCACCTAACACAGCAGACCCAATCTACAAAGTAAAAATTCTGTTAAGTTATAAAATGTAAAATGTGTCAAATGTAGAGAAAATTGTTTTAGGGCATGTTGTGATATTTTAAGGTGGGATATAAAGCTTTTCTAGTTGATTAAACCCTTCTCCTTGTTCTTCCAGGCTCGTGATGATATCCTAAATGGTTCCCATCCAGTATCGTTTGACAAGGCTGGTGAGTTTGGAGGCATTCAGGCCCAGATCCAGTTTGGACCTCACGTAGAACATAAACACAAACCTGGATTCTTGGAGTAAGTGTCTGTCATGGGGAAATCTCTTAAAATCTGAACCTTGATGATCCAATTTAAATAAAACCATTTGGGGGGGGGAAAAAAACAACAACATATTTTTGTAGTCATGTTTTTTTGTTGTTGTCAAGAATAGCTTTGGGACATATCAGACTTTAAAGTGTCTTAGAAGTAAAGTAGAAAGCACAAAAACTTTTAAAAAGAACTAGAAGACTAATACATGAAAAACAGTAAGGTTGTATGAAGTTCAGCCTCTCATGAGTTTCTTTTCTTTTCAAGTCTGAAGGAGTTTCTGCCCAAAGAGTACATTAAGCAGAGAGGAGCCGAGAAAAAAATATTCCAGGTTTGTTTATGTTCTCCTCCTCAAAAATGTTTATTTTAGACCATGCTGCACTGTGTGTTCAGACTTTCACTATATGATAAAATAAAAACCTCTCACCTACAGGAACACAAAAACTGTGGAGAAATGACTGAGATTGAAGCAAAAGTGAAATATGTCAAACTGGCACGGTCCTTGAGGACGTACGGAGTCTCCTTCTTCCTGGTCAAAGTAGGTTGGATGTCACACATTTATTTTGGTTTTTGAAATAATTAGATCTAGTTTATCAAGGCACCACTTAATTTAAAGGGAACGTTTTAAAATCTAACAAGTCAAAAAAGTAGCTTTTAGAACTTTTCTCCTGCGGAGCCAACAGATTTCTAAATCAGCTAAACTTTAGTCAGAACGTTTCCTCTCCACGGTGCCGGAGCATCATTTGCACTTGGTAATAAATGCATGCTTCTTATGTCACTCCAACAAAATGTATCTAATTTGGATCAAACTGTTGGGCTTTTCTAAAGTGATGAAAAATAATAAAACTTACCGAACACATAATGACCTTGTTTCTCACATCAGTAAATGCACACGTGCAAACAGAAGCTGCATGTCATCTGCAGGTAGATGGGAGTCAGGCTGGAAGGAAACTAAATGTCTGTGCTGATGAAATTGTTTTAAAGGTAACAGGTGAAGATTTAAAGTAATAATAAGTACTGAAGCAGAGTTTTTACGTTACCATAGTACAGTAGTCCCTCATTTATCACTGGGGTTACATTCCAGACCCCCGACAATGTGTGCACTACAGTGGGTATCTAGTTATTTGAATAATAGGAGATAGTTTGTACAGGTAAACGATGTCAAATCTGAATTTTGTGTTAATGGATGTGGAGTTCCTCAGGGCTCTGTGTTGGGACCAAAAGTTGTTTAATTTGTATGTGAATGATCTGGTTGATGTGTCAGGGCTTTTGTAGTGTGTTTTATTTGCAGATCATACCACATTTTTTTGTTTAGGTGAAGATATTGAACAGATGTTAGAGATGATACAGGCAGAATTCATAAAAGTACATACTTGGTTCCAACTTAATAAGTTATCATTAAATTTGGGAAAAGAAAAAAAAAACTACATGATATTTAGTAGTAGAAACTTAGTTCGCTGTGGCGACCCCTAAAGCAGGGAGCAGCCGAAAGAAGAAGAAAAAAATAAAAAAATAATTTAGTAGTAGAAATAAAATTATTGAAGTCCCATTTAAAATTGACTGTGTTGAAATTCAAAGAGTTAATGAAATAAAATTTTTGGTTGTCATTATTGATGAGAAGCTGACATGGAAATCTCATGTAAATTAATTAATAATAAAAATAGCAAAATCAATTGCATCACTGTATAAAGTAAAAGAGTTTTTTAATGACAAAGCTTTGTATATATTGTATAATATAATGATTGTTCCATATTTAATGTATTGTAATGAAGTTTGGGAAAAACATGCAAACCAATTACAAACCTTTTTTTTATTTATTTTATTTTTAACAAAGAGCTATACGAATTATTAGTAGGAAGTGCTTTGGTCATCCAACAAATACTGTATTTTCATCAGTTGAAATTATTAAAATTGTATAATTTGGTTAAATATAGTATTTTCCAAGTCATGTATAAAGCTCATAAAAAAATATTACCCAAACTTTTTCCGATCAGATCAAAACTTTCCTTCTACGTACAAATTTCAACAGAAGGCAACAGGACATCTGTTGGCTTCTGGGAAATGTAGTGCTTATGAGTGGCAATACATTAAAGGCATATTGAAAGAAAACTACAAAAATGGCTGCGCCTGCCTGAATTATTTCATTTTTCATTAACTTTTTACTACAGTACTGTATTCAGTACTGTCCCAATCACGTGAGTAATATTAAAGTTGAATCATGTGTCTTGTACATTATTTTTTTCTCGTGTTCAATCCTACTTTGAAAAACCGAGATTGAGCAAGTTCTTGGAAAATCGAACCACAAAGTAGCAAGGGACTACTGTAAACTAATTTCAAGCCCTGTTGGCAGATTCCAGCTGATCAGACATTTGCTGATTTCCATTCATATTGACCGTGAAGTAATATTGAACTCTTCTTTGCTTGGAACAGGTTTGCTTTGTATCTGCTCATTTTTGTTGTGTGCGTGTGATCTGTGTGGTAAATTCAGCCTGTAGCATCTAACCTTTAACGTGTATAGTCTCCAGAGAGTTTACAAGCCCTGCAGGACGTCTACAAACCTCACCTCTTTGCCCTTGCGTCAGAACCCATCACGTTCTGTCCATCTGCTTCCCCTTAACTCCAGTTCCCACAGAAACGTTAGCTCTTTTCCACAAACAGGGACAGAAAAAGAAGGCTTGTCATTTAGATAGTGTCTGAAATGTGACATTATATGCTTAGTGAATGCAAGAGGAGTTTAAAAGTAGCTGACAAGCAGATAAAGGCATTATTTAAACATCACATTTTAATTATTAACTGGGAAATTTCTCTTTTTTCCCTGCTGGGGAGACAACTGAAAACTCATGCTGGCAAATCAGTGGGAGAGAAAAAAAATTAAGCTTTCATGCTGAGGATTTTTAATTAATTTTTAATTTTTTTTTTTTTTTGCTTGAATTGTTAATCTGTCCTTTGATTTCTTTAATGCCTCAGTAGACAGAGGGACATGAAAATGAAAGAAAGTGAATGTTGCCTGTGTTGCTCACTGCCGTGAGTAAAACTGACATTTCTAATGCATCGTGAAGTTACAATGTTTATCGCAGTTATTAAATCTTCTATTTATTTATACAGTTTGTAATCTATGATATTTATCATGGCAGCACGGTGGCGCAACTGGTAGAGATGCTGCCTCTCAGCGAACAGGTCCCTGGTTCAAACCCCGGTCCAGGGGCCTTTCTGGGTGGAGTTTGCATGTTCTCTCCGTGCATGTGTGGGTTTTCTCCGGGTACTCCGGTTTCCTCCCACAGTCCAAAAACATGCATGTTAGACTGATTGGTAACTCTAAATTGTCCCTAGGTGTGAATGAGAGAGCGAATGTTTGTTTGTCTCTATGTGGCCCTGTGATGGACTTGCGACCCGTCCAGGGTGTACCCCGCCCCTCGCACAGTGATTGCTGGACATGGGCACCAGCGACCCCCGTGACTCAAAATGGAATAAACGGGTAAAGATAATGGATGGATGGATGGATGGATATTTATCATTTTTACAGGTGTAGATTACAATGACTAGTCACAAAATTAAAACCCCTGTAGAAGTCCATGACAATCAGGATAGTACATCATACAGCAACACAAAAAGATCTCACAGTGCAGTCCACAGTCCAGCTTCCAAACTCCTCATATGTGCAAATTGTCTCCCACTATGCAACCTGCACGACCCTAACAGTCTACAGTAAAGATCTTGGGCACTCGTGTACAAAGTGTACAAGTGCCAGCTTGTAGTCTGTTCCCAACCATGCTGTTCATTAGAGTGAATGAGTCGTGCGTTGAACCAGGACACCTCACCACAATGTAGGTTAGTTGCTTTTGTGCATATAATTTGTACATTGGATGAAAATTCTTTCTGTTAACAAACATATTCATCCTGTGGTGGTGCTTTTATAGCAATGTGTGTGCAGTCGATAGCTCGGATTGGATTAGAAATACCAGCTATTGCTGCAAATTGTGCTTTAATGTTGGCCTGTTCAACTGCATCGTTGGGAATTTGATGTACCTGGTTGACGTACGGACAGTTCTATACCACACAGCTGGCATGGCTTGGCTCAGGGTCGACTGACAAAATCCTGATTGGTCTGCCAGCTCCCTCTGGAATGTCCCTGTTGCTAAGAACCCCAGTGTGGTCAGCAGTTGTATGTGTACTAGCAGCACTCGGCTCCTTGCTGTGTCGTGCTCCAAGACCGGCCGCAACTCTAAGCACAGTTCCAAAAGGATTGCCCTTGAAATCCTAAAATGTCTGTTGATCCAGTCGTCATTATGAGCCAGAAAATCCTCTGTCTCTAAATATTTGCACTCTGTGTATTTGTTAAATTTAAGGCTAAAGCCATTGTTGTTTTCTTTGCTTTTATATCAAATCATTTTACTGTATACATGTGGATGCATTAATTGTTCATCATGTGTGTCCTTGTGTGTACACTAATAGTTTTCACATTATTAACAATAAAAAGGGTTAAATTGTGTCATCTGGATCAGTTTCTTTAAGTGAGAAATGTTTCGTCCCCAATCTAGAGAACTTTGTCAGTCTGCGGCTTGCCAACCAGATCTGTCCCACCTTCAGTGATGTGTTTCAAGCCAGCCTCCTGTTGGAATCAGGCTTTTAACGCGTGCAAAACGCACCCATCCAAAACGATCAATCATCATGTACAACAATTACATGTTTTAGACCAGATGGCCGAATTGCTACTCACAGAAACAGCCTGAGGAAGCCAAGGCCAAAGTGGTTTAGAAAAAGTTGTGTAAGCTCAATCATCCAGGTAGATAACAATCAAGAAGGTTAAATTGTGTCATCTGGACCAGTTTCAGTGGAAAAACGTCTTGTTCCTCATCCAGAGGATTTCATCAGTCTAAGTTGTCTAAGTCTAAGTTGACCATCTGACCTAAAACATTTGATTGTTGTACATGATGATGGATTGTTTTGGATGGGTGTGCTCTGTTTGCACATGTTAAAAGCCTGTTTCTGAGATTCCAACAGGAGGTTGGCTTGAAACACAGCAGTGAAGGCCACCTATGGGACAGATCTGGCTGGCAGGCTGTAGACTGAGGAAGTCTTCTTGATGGGGAAGCAAACATTTCTCACTTAAAGAAACTGGTCCAGATGACGTGATTTAATCTTTTTTGTTGTTATCTACCTGGATGATTGAGCTTGCAACCCTTTCACATCATTAACAGTTTCCCAGCATCACCTCTAAGCGTCGCCAATGGATCAATAACCATAGAAATGTGCGTACGCCATCCATAAAGTTAGCGTGGAGTTGCACACATGTCCATGGTCATTTCATTCTTGATACATCTGAAGTTTTGCGTGAAAAAGGGCGTAAGCCATGTTTTTGTGTGTACAAAAATTCATCACTTTGTACACGAGTGCCCTGGTATTTACCACCGTATGAGCATCCTTTGTGTGTGCCATAGATGTTCAGTTTGCACAAAGAAAAAAAACAATGAAAATAATAATTATTGAGTATAGAAACAAAGATTAGAAGAAATATTTAAACATTTAAAGTCCTGAAGTAAAGCTTTGAAAGTCTTAGAAAATTTTAACTACTGGTGCATATTTTGGGTTTACAAGATCACATGACTTACAGTAATTCTTATGGGTTTAGACCCACAGGTCACTGATATAATGCGTCTGTCGAACTTTACTTCATTTTTCGATTGTCTACATTCTAATTCCATCGTGTCTTTTTATTGTTGGATTTTCTCCTAAGAAGATGCTAAAGCGTAACTTTTTGTCCTGCAGGAGAAGATGAAGAGTAAAAACAAACTGGTGCCTCGACTCCTGGGCATCACCAAAGAGTCTGTGATGCGAGTGGATGAAAAGACCAAAGATGTGGTTCAGGAGTGGCCCCTCACCACCGTGAAGAGGTGGGCCGCGTCCCCCAAGAGCTTCACGCTGGTAAGAAGCACAAACCGTACATTTAATGCCTGCTCATTCGCACACCAGTGCAGCCACATCAAACTGTTTAAAAGTTTCTTTAGCTTCATTATGCCGCTGTTGCTTTTTATTCTTTTTATATTTTTATATGTTCTACTGTTTTTTTTTATTTCATCCTATTCTAAGCCACAAAATAAAAAAATCTAATAAACAGACTCAGCCGACCGCAGCTTGCCTTTCGTTCAGTGACTGAACAGTCTCTTTTGTCTTCCCTGTCACTACAGCTCCTTTGTGTCGACCCTCAGTCAGGCACCAACATGGGTTTAATCTCGTGTATCTGAAAGAGCTCTGTCACTAGTAAATTGATGAAACCTGTTTCCTAATTTGTTGAAGTGCCTAACTGTTTAGGCTTTGCATTTTTTGTGACTCTGATTTGAAGGCTGATTTGCTGTTTAGCTGTAGAGCAAAAGCTAATAGTTATAAAAGCACACTGCAGACTATTATTTTTTTTATTTCAGATTGTGACGAAAGTACATCCCTGACCTCACCTTTTTCTATTTTATTTAGAGTATACTCTGTAAATCTGGTCGATAGCTTAAAATTACTTAAATTTCTTGTATTTAAATCAACTTTGAGATGGTTCCTGGGTTGATCTGTCTGTGCATGCTGCAGCTTCATTCCAACACAATGTGTGGTGCACTTCTGAGGCTAGCAGTCTTCATGGATTTCACATTAATCCTTACAGTAAATCCTCAGCTTATACACTGTGCTGGTTACTTATGTTACAGCTGTGCACACATCACACATTTATGATGAAATGGGATGTTTATGCAGGATTTCGGGGAGTATCAGGAGAGCTACTACTCAGTGCAGACCACTGAGGGTGAACAGATCTCTCAGCTCATTGCTGGGTACATCGACATCATCCTCAAAAAGGTGAGACTTTTATCTTTGATTCATTATCCTCTTGTGGTTGATGCATTCTCAGATTTGTTGATCCCAGCCTGCTGTGTCATGTTTCTGCTCGTCATTCACATCAGAGAAAATAGATGGCTTTCTGTTTTCTTTTACTATTAATAAATTATTTTCCCACCGTTTGTTTTCTCTCCTGCAGAAGCAAAGCAAGGACCGCTTTGGATTAGAAGGCGACGAGGAGTCGACCATGCTCGAGGAATCTGTATCTCCGAAAAAGTGTGTAAAACAGGCAAAGCAAACTAAACCTGGTGGTAATTTTTGGAATGTATTTTGTTATCAGTTATTGACGACTCCTATTAAATCCCAGTTTTATAGATGCAGATGAGCACAGAAGCAGTGTACGAGTTTTTCACATAATAGCCCTACAAACCAGTAGATTAGTTCTCATTTTCTTTCTTTTCACTTCCTGCTGCCTCAGCTCACACTTCCATCTTTCAGGATCTGAGTTTGCCAGAGGATGACTTCCTTAGCTGGACTTTATCCTGAAAGATAAAAATTATACGAGGAAACTTTCCTTTACTGGACAGGCAAAGATTCCATCTGAACATTTCCTGATTAGATGTGCTTTACCTCATTTAGCCACTGTAGATCTGAGAGCACGTCTGAAGCCCGTTTCCTGCAGAGCTTCAGTTAAAATTGCTTTTCTGCTTTCAGCGCCTTGCTGCATTTGCTATTGATTTAGTTTTGTTATCTGTGCACATGCCAAAGGCAAAACTCCTAAATACAATAGTCCCTCGCTACTTCGCGGTTCGTTTATTGCGGTTTTTAAAAATAAGATTGGACATGACACACAATTGGCAGATTGATGGATGAGCCGCACGATCAACATGGAATTTTTATTTAAAATTAATTGTTAAAAAATATTTAGCACTTGCTGCACCTTTGTGCAGCCCACTTCAGGATAAACTTCTTGCTGCAGCTGAACAGCTGATTAGCTGTTCTCCGTGCAGAGCAGAGAAGTGGGCGTGGCCAAGAGCACTTGCAGATGGCTGAGAGCAGACGAGGCAGGGAGCTGAAATCATTACATTCTGTGCTCTTTTAGAGCGTTTAGAGTTTAGAAACATTGTTTAGAATATTGCAAGAGTGTGAGAAGGGTTTAAAATGCCTTTATA